GCCCCCTTGGTGTGCTCACCAAAATCCCGCTTCTGGGGAGGTAGTGACTATGAGGTTTGACGTGTAACCTCGCAGACCCTGTTCTGTGTGTGGGGGTGTGTATGGACACACAGTATGCGTATGTCATTCTTTTAAAATACAGCTGGAATCACGCTCTACCTTCTATTACATGCGTTGATCAGTCAGCAACATGTTCAGGGCAACATGTTAGGGACAGCATCCCAATTCGTACACACGCATGCAACCTCATTCATTTTAAGGGCTGCCTGGTGGTTCACGGCTGGACTGTGCCATAATTTAACCATTCGCCAGACAGGTTCTAGCAACAACTTGGCAGCTTCCGATTTTTTTACTCTTTCGAACAATGCTTTTGTAAGCTTCCATGTATCTTACATCTGGTTTGGAGGATCTACTTCTAGAAAGGGAATTGCTGTCAAACATATTTCTTAAAAGCCAGTGTTTTGTTTTTTGTTTTTTGTTTTTTTTACTTTTACAAACTGTTTATTTTCCGTCGACCTTTTCCATTTCTATTTCCATTTTGTTTGCCTTTGTGGAAGACCAGCTTAAGACCATTCAGTGGCCTGAGCAGTGGGAGCTGCAGACCAGTCTTCAGTGGCCGGCTGGGCGTTCCAGTCTTCAGTAGGGAACTGCTGAATAGGCACCGAGGGCACCTGCACACCTTCAGACCAGTCTGCGACTTCAGGCTGAGTAGCAGTGAACTCAGGAGCTGGAGCTGTCCATTCACCCTGAAATTCCGCCTTGGTCACAGCCTTTTCAGCAGCGGCCTGCTCTTCCTTTTCAAGTGTTCTTTTTTTCTAGACTTAAAGGTAGTCTAGCAAGGTCTGGCCATTCATGTATTCGGTGGTTCATTTGGAAACAGTATTTCGTCATCAGTATTTCGTGTGCCAGATGCGGTGCTGGGGGAGCAGCTATGGACTCTTTCCTTATGGACGTGATAATTTATGACAGTCCCCACCTACCTGCTGCCCTTGTTTCTGATTCTTGTTGTAAAATGGGAGGAGAGAGGAGATTTTTATTAGAAGAGACTGCCCTGGGGAAACCCCTTTGAATTGGCCGAGGCCCAAACTACATTCCCAGAGCCTGAGGTCCCTGGGCTGCAGGGAGGGGCTGCCTGGGTGGGCCCCGTCTTGTGGGGCGGACGGGAGAAGTAGCAGCTATCCCAGAAGCTGGCGGGCTCTTGCCTAAGGGAGGGCCTTGGGGACCAACTGTGTGTCCTTGTGAAAGTTGGTGGTTTCTGCGTTTCCTCTTTCTTCTCAGGCGGGGCTTGGAGACCCTGGTCGGGGAGTGGCAGCTCCCGGCTCCCTCCTGAGAGCCTGAAGCTGGCTCTGAGAGAGGCAGTCACTGTTGTTCCCAGAAGATTTCCTAGGATGACGTGCCAGCCATTATTGGTGTTTGCAGGGGAGGTGGGCCCCAGGCGGTCCTCTAGGGAGGAGGTGAGCCAGGCTCCACATTCTTCCCCAGGAGCCCAGAGGGGTGGTGACTTGTCCTGGCCTCCCAGGTAGTCAGCTGCAGAGCCAGGTTCTCATCTGGGTTTCCTGGTTTTGTACCTCCCCCTGCAGCAGCTGTTGGTCCCTCCCTGGGCCAGATGGTCCCCCCAGGCCTGTCGTCCGCTCACAGAACAACTGCTATCAAGTTAGCTGGCACTGGGCTCAGAGACCAGTTTTCCTGACCACTCGCAGGAGCCTCAGCAATGCCCCAGCCTAAAGCTCTCCCGGCTCACGTGCCCCATGGACAGAGCATTTACCGGGAGCAGGGCCTGGAGCCAAGTGCTTTATGTGTGTCATTTAATCCTCATGGCAACCCTGCAAAGTAGTTCTAATGGTGTTGCCACCCCTGTATCACAGGCAGGGGCACTGAGAGTCAGAGGTTTGCTAATTGTCCTGACCCCTGCCTGTCTCCCACCTTATCAGCTTCTACCTCCGCTCCTTCCAGTCACGGTGCCCTGCCCCTCCAGGCCCTTCAGCCAGTTTGTTATCCCTGTCTGGAAATATCTTCCCCCAGATCTTGACCTCCTGTCTAAAATAGCCGCCCATCTGCCCTGTTCCCACCATGAATCACGTGGGGGTTGTTGAGGGCCTGTTTTCGTTGCTAGAATAACAAGCCACACGAGGATGGAGATTTTTGTTCAGCTCTGTGCCTAGAACAGTGCCTGGTACATAATAGATGTTCAGTTAATGTGTGTCGCATGAATGAAGAGCTTGGAGGCACTCAGCTGCGCTTCCTCCAAGCACTCCCTCCCTCCCTGCGCTCTCTCACCTCCCTAACTGTAGACTCTCCTATCTCCCTGCTCCTGTCTTTCCACCCTTTACACAGGGCTAGATACTTACTGGTGTTTGATTGCTATCTGCTTCCACCACTGAACTTTGAGTTGCCCAAGGGCAAGGACTTAGTTCTCTTCTGACTAATTGTCTGGCTCCGGATGGCACCCCGATGAATGGGTGAATGAACCAGTGGAATAGAAGAGCCAAGACTGGAACTGGTTCTCTAGTATTCAGGCCCCTGCTCTTAGCATTGTGCTCCTTCCTGGTTTGAAACTGTGGCTGATTCAAGCTCTCCAGGACAGCAGTTGTTATTCAACTGTGGTTCGGGCCAGCTCGTTTCTAGAGCTAGACAAAAGCTTCCGGGGGTGGGGGTGGGGGGGCTGGTAGTTACGCAGCTTTGCAACTTCTCTTTGGATTAAGCATCACCAGTCTGCTCAAGGTGTTGCTTTGCTCTGAATTTATTTTTATTTATTTATTTATTTTGTAAAGATTTTATTTATTTATTTTAGAGAGCACACGAGCAGAGGGAGGGGAGAGGGAGAGGGAGAATCCCAAGCAGACTCTGCACTGAGCCTGGAGCCTGACTTGGGGGCTCAATCTCACAACCCTGAGATTATGATCTGAGCTAAAACCAAGAGTCGGATGCTTTACCCACTGAGCCACCCAGGTGCCCTGCTTCTGAATTTGTGTATTTATTTATTTTATTTTATTTTTTATTTATTTTATTTTTAATTTTTTTAAAAGATTTTATTTATTTCTTTGACAGAGAGAGACACAGCGAGAGAGGGAACACAAGCGGGGGGGTGGGAGAGGGAGAAGCAGGCTTCCCCCTGAGCAGGGAGCCCGATGCAGGGGCTCGATCTCTGGATCATGACCTGAGCCAAAGGCAGACACTTAAGCATCTGAGCCACCCAGGCGCCCCCTGAATTTATTTTTTAATCAAGATGAAACTTAGCTGTTTTTCTGCCATATAAAAGTTTATGTTGACTTCTAGACGGAATGTTGTTTAAAAACAACAGTAAATATGCTTATTTCTATTTAAAAAAATTAAAAAAAAAGAAACTTTACCCTTGAAGACAGGAGAATTGGAGATTTCTCTTCGTGGCATTGCATTCTTCTTGTAGTAGTAGGCATGTGAAGGAAGACTGGTAGTTTTGGGTGTGTGTTTAAAGATACATTTTATTTATTTATTTATGTGAGTCCTGAAAGTCATGCCTGTTCGTCATGGCAAATTTAAAGAATTGAGAAAAGTAGAAGAAACCTTGTCTAGTCTCATGATCCATACACAACCAGTTTAGCAAGTTGGTGTATTTCCTCCAAGTCAGTTCATGTAGATATTTGCCCTTTTTTGGGGGGGAGGAGAGCACCATACAATATATTCAACTGTGTACCCTCCCCTTTCCTACTTAACCTTAAAAGTGTATAAATACAGTATCTTAATATTGTGTTAAGTATTGCAACATTTAAATACGTGTTAAATATTAATATATAAAATCTTAAAAAATACACATACTCTTTAAAAAATATTAATATATATTAAATACATACTAAATGTTTTAATATTGATATTTTTGTTTTGTTTTGTTTTGCCTTGGGTGGGGGCAAAGGGGAGAGAGAGAATCTTTTTTTTTTTTTTTAAGATTTTATTTTTATTTATTTGAGAGAGAGAGAGAGTGAGAGACAGAGAGCACGAGAGGGAAGAGGGTCAGAGGGAGAAGCAGACTCCCCGCCGAGCAGGGAGCCCGATGCGGAACTCGATCCCGGGACTCCAGGATCATGACCTGAGCCGAAGGCAGTCGCTTAACCAACTGAGCCACCCAGGCGCTCCGAGAGAGAGAATCTTAAGCAGACTCCACACCCAGCGCGGGGCTTGATCTCACGACCCTTAGATCATGACCTGAGCCACAAATCAGGAGTTGGACTTAACCCTGAGCCACCCACGTGCCCCTAATATTGACGTGTATTAATATGTATAATTCAGTGTTAAAATATTGAATAAAAATACTTCAAAACTAATTTTAATGCCTGTAAAATACTCTGTCATATGCCCATGTATCACACTTTTCTTCATCTGTTCAGTTGTTTAGCGTTCACCTTCTCTTACGTCTCAGTGTCTTGGTTTATCTTACTGTGTGTGTGTTTGTGTGTGTGCTTGATACGCCATCTTAGATCCTTTTGGGAAAAGACAGAATATATTATATATCGTGTATAAGAAGTTTTAAAATCACCCCCTCAGCTTTTGTGCAGAGACAGTATCAAAGCCAGTGACGTTTATCCAAGGCACAATTATTGCTGATTAAAATCACTCCCTGAAAGCCAAACAATTAGGGTTCTTTTTAATTTGTCACTATTATAACAGCACTTTCATGAACATCATTCTGCATACTATTTTTATGTTTAAGATTACTTCATTAGGGTAAATATCTAGATTTGGAATTACTGGATCAGAAGAGTATGGATATTTTAAAGATTCTTTAGATTTCTTGCCCAACTGCTTCCCTGAAAAGCTCTTCAATTTATACTTTCATTAGCAGGAAAGAAAGTGCATGTCTCTATATATCTTTACAACAGTAGATCTGTTTTTAATGATCAGAAATTTGCTAGGTAAGAAATGGCATCTGTTAGTTGATTTGGAACGTCTGTCTCTTGAGTTCACACCCGAGGGCTGTGGGTGGAGGAATGTCCATCGAATACTCTTATCTGATTTTTGTCTTGCAGCTGACTTTGGTGTGTCTGCCAAGAATCTGAAAACTCTGCAAAAGCGAGATTCCTTCATAGGAACACCTTACTGGTGAGATGTGCAGTTTCTGGAAAGGGAATGGTGGACTAAAGGTTGAACCTCAGACTCCCCAAGGTGACCTCTGGCTGCTGTAGAAGAGAGAGGACTGGGGCAAGGGCTCCTGAGTCAGCCAGCCTCAGTGGGTCTGAGCCCAGGCCGCACCACTCACGAGTGCTGTGACCTTGGCCAAGTTGCTTAGCTCCCCTGTGCCTCAGTTTCCTCCTCTACGAAATCAGGGTTCACGGGTTGCTGTGAGGATTAAACGGGAAGATGCATATAGAAAGTGCTCCATTAAGAACATCTAAACGGGAACCCCTAGAAAATGGTTCAATTTTTTTTTTTTTTTTTAATTGACAGAGAGACACAGCGAGAGAGGGAACACAAGCAGGTGGGAGTGGGAGAGGGAGAAGCAGGCTTCCCGCTGAGCAGGGAGCCCGATGCGGGGCTCGATCCCAGGACCCTGGGATCATGACCTGAGCCGAAGGCAGACGCTTAACGACTGAGCCACCCAGGCGCCCCCTATTTCATAATTCTTGATTTACTTTTCAGTATAAAATCTTGGGGTGCCTGGGTGGCTCAGTCACTAAGCGTCTGCCCGCCGAGCAGGGAGCCCGATGCGGGGCTCGATCCCAGGACCCTGGGACCATGACCTGAGCCGAAGGCAGACGCTTAACGATTGAGCCACCCAGGCGCCCCCAAAATTGTTCAATCCTTGATTAATTCAACAAGTACAGATTGAATGGGAGGCCCTGGGCTGGACTGTGAAGATGAACAATTCCTACCCTCCGTGAAGTTTCTCTGGACCTCTCTAGTCCATTGTGTCTCCTCCTTTTCCAAAACTATTACTTAAAAAAAACAAACCACAAAAACACTTTCAGTTTCACACCTAATTACTTTCTGTGTTTCACGTGCATTACTTCTCACTTGGGAGTTAGACTCCTTTCTTGTGAGTTAGACTCCTTTCTTGCTTGATTACTCACCCTTTCTTTCTCTCTCTCTGCCCTTTTATTCCTCTTTCTCCTGTTCTCTCCCATCCCTTCTGTCTGTACTGTTGTATTCTCTCCGCCCCCCCCCCTTGTGCCCCCAGTTGATACTGGGCACCTTCCCCTCTGCCTGCACCCACCCCCTTCCCCAGGACTCTGTGTTCTGGATTGTTGCTGCCATCTTGTGGCAGGCATCGGGAACTGCAGCCGGACATGGCAGTGGAACCCCTCTGAAGGCATCTTTCTGGGTGAAGACCAACGTAAGGAAGACAGTGGGATGGACCCTAATGCACGTCGTGATTCGGGAGTGCTGCCAACCCTCTGACATTGGCTTGTGGTGGTCCCTGACCCTGAGTCTCTGAGAAGTGCCTGTGGAGGCCAGGTTCTTAGCCCTCTGTTGTCCCTTGGTTGGTTCAGGATGGCCCCTGAGGTGGTGATGTGTGAGACCATGAAGGACACACCGTATGACTACAAAGCCGACATCTGGTCCCTGGGCATCACTCTGATTGAGATGGCCCAGATTGAGCCCCCGCACCATGAGCTCAACCCCATGCGGGTCCTGCTCAAGATTGCCAAGTCGGATCCCCCCACTCTCCTCTCGCCTTCTAAGTGGTAAGGAGCAAGGCCAGCCCGAGGGTGTTTGCTGTGTGGCCAGTGGGCCCGGGACATGGGGCAGGTGGGATTGGGCAGGTGGAGGGCCAGGGTTCTCCTGTCCCTGCTAGGCCCCGTGTGGGGGACACTGAGGCACACTCCGGGCCTTTCTGAGCAACCTGGGCCCTCCATGCCTTTACCTGTCCTCTGTGCTCTTGACGTGGGCTGTCCATCTGAGCAGACCGTGGGATCCAATAAGGCGGATGCCACTCTGGGAGGAAGTGCCTAAACGGGCCCTGGCAGCCGCGTGGCACAGCCCTGGGCTGGGAACCAGGGCTCAGGCTTAAACCCCAGCGCTTCTCTGTTTTGCCAGTGCCCTTGGGCAGGTCCCCGCTCCACTGATTTTCATGTCCCCATCTATACAGCGATGTTCATGATGAGATCATCTCGAAAGCCCTGTCGCCTTCGCCGTTTCAGCTCATGAAGGCGCCCTTTGTCTTTTGAGGGCTGTGTTGGGGAAGCACATGACTCCCAGGAGAGTGGAGTCAGTGACTCGGGAATTTTCGCAGTTCTTGCCCTACTCCAAGCTGACTGCTACCACCTGTGCCCACCACCCCCCAGGTCTGTGGAGTTCCGCGACTTCCTGAAGACGGCCCTAGATAAGAACCCCGAGACGCGGCCCAGTGCTGCACAGCTCCTGGAGGTATGTGGCTGCCCTCTCCTGGGGGTGGCTGCCTGCCCCCTCTGCCCTGCCCTTCTTTTGCAGGAGGGGCGAGCTCACCCATGACCTGGAAGCTGGGTGTGTTCCTCCCCAGCCCAGGCGCGGCTGTGGTGAGGGAAGCTCCCCCAGAGCCTGTCCTCACACCGCTTATGTTCTAGTGGGGGAGACAGGCCACAGACAGCAGATAGGTGCCCGTGGCAAGGAGAGACAAGGGCTATGGAGAGAAAGAAAACAACTCGGGAGGCCAGGGGCCTGCGAGGGCCTGCGAGGGCCTGCTCTCCTGTCAAAGGAGGGCATGGAATGGCTCTTAGCAGACACCCAGAGGGGGCCAGGGGCTCTGCGAGGGGTGCTGGGGAGCTGAGGCAAACACCTGCCCGTGAGCACGATTGGGAGGAGCGAGGAGGCCAGGGCACGGAGCCAGGGATGAGGGCAGAGATCGGAGAGGTGTGGGGTGTGTGCTCCCCAAGAGGACACATAGCCCCCTGGTACACTCATTGCCTTGATGCATTGGAGCAGGACACAGACTTCCAGAAGGAAAGCGATGCTCAGTGGGAACCATATTGTCTGTGCAAACAGTTGAGGCAGAGTAAGCCACTCTTGTCCATTCATGGTGGACCCCCTCCCCAAACCGAGGTTTCCAGCGGCCAGCTAAGGGCCAATGGTAGAAGCAGGCCTTTCTTTCAAAGGGGCGCAGCAGGCGATGCTCACTCTTTTCTGCATGAAGGGCCAGGTTGCGTGGGGTCCCGTAGGGTCTTGAAAGCCCAGACCAGAACTTTACCTGTGCGCCGTGGGGCGCCCCTGAGGGTTTGGATGAGGGACATAGCATCCAGCCTACACTTATAAGGGCCTGTCTGGCTGCTGTGTGAGGAATCTCTGGCCTCCGCGTGGAGAAGGGGTGATGGTTGCCTGGAAGCTTTTTGAAATATCGGAGGTAGCTGGGAGCTGCCCTTTGCCCGAGCTGGTGCCTTGTGCTTTGAAAGAGGCAGGCACCACCCGCCCAGCTGTCCTCAGGCCTGCCCGTTGCTGTCACCGTGCCATCAACGCTGATGGGAGACCGAGAGAAAGTGGGCCTCGGTTCTGGGGGAGGGGCCGTCTCTCCAGACCCTGCCCACAGTGGTCCTCCCACGTAAGTGACTCACAAGCTCTGATGTGTGTCGGGAGGGAAGGAAGAAGAGACCACACCAAGCACTGAGTCTTTGTTCACGTTCAGCCACTTTTCCTGAGTACCTGCTGTGTGCCAGGCTCGGGGCCCTGTGGACATGCCAGGCTCCAGCGTGTCCCTCTGGCGTGTGCAACACAGTGATGAAGTGTGTGGACTGAGGTGGTAAAGTCCCGGGTTCAAATCCCAGCTCTGCTACTTATTGGCTCTGAGACCCTGGGAGATTGGCTTAGCTTCTCTGTGACTCAGTCCTTGCTGTGAAATGGGGATAATGGCAGTGCCCCCCCTTAACTGGGTCCTTGTGAGGGTTAAGTGTGAAGATACCGAAGATACGTCTGGAGTAGCAGAGGCCTCATTTCCTGGGTTTTGCCGTGTTCGGTGGGGAAGCCAGAGGTGGGGGTGGGCCGTCACTGTCAGATGCAGAAGCTCCAAGCCAACTGGGGCCAATTGTTTCCTGTAAGCAGGCACCTCCTGGCCTGCTACATCCGGCCTCTAGGACATCCAGGACATTCCACCAGGAAGAGACCAGCTGTCCTCCATCTCCACATGGCAGCCTCGGAGCCTCAGCCCGAGCCAGGAATTTTTGTTACATAGTTGGAAACAATGTCCTGCCAGGGGATTCTTAGTGTAAGACAGAAAGGGTTGCAGAAGAAAGGAGTGATCCCTTGAGATCAAGAAAACGCCTTCAGGGCTTAGGCTGCTGTCAGCTTTGTCCTTGTGCCTCTTTATTTCTGGGTGGGGGAGGGCGGAGCATGGCCTGCTCTAGGTCACCTGGCCTTGAGTGACAGGTAGGGGCCTCCCCATCTTGGCTTCCCAGTGTCCCCTGCAGAGCTGCTCATGCCCCCTGTTTCTGCCTGCTTCTGGGAGCTTCCTCCAGGCCCCTCGTGCCTTGAGTTGACACTGGTTTCTGACTCACCCCCTCACCTGCACAGAGATTCTTGGGGACCGTGTCACGTAGTGATTAGTGACCCGGGCTCTGAGGTCAGGCTTGACCACCCGGAATAGGAGTCGTTCTCACTCTGTGCCTCAGTTTCCTCACCTGTGAGATGCGGTTAGTGCTCCCTTATGCAGTCGTACGAGGGAACGAGATTCTGCACGCGCTGTTTTTAGCACGGTGGCTGTCAGGTCAGGTGCTCCGTGGACACTAGGTGAGCTGGTTATGAACCTGCCGCACCGTGTCCCAGCTGTTCTTGTCGGGGTCGTCTGTGACTCACATTGTTGGACCCGGTAGCTGGCCGCAGCCTCTGCGCTTGTGCCGTGGGACCCGGCCACGGCAGCCACAGCTGACCTTCATCCTCGCCACTGCCAGCACTTGGCTTCCGGGCCCCCACGGCCTCCTGGTGTCTTTCCTTGTCACCGGTCACTCTGCAGCGTCCTTCGCCTGCTGCTCTTTCCTGCGACTGATCGCCGTGGAAGCGCGTCAGGGCCTTCCCCCCACCCCCACCCCATCTCCACTCACCTCGAGGGTCCCACCTGGTTGCGGCGACTGCCACGTTTTCCCTGCAGCCCGCGCTGCTCCACCTGCCCTAGGTGTCCGCATCTGGCCGTTTACTCACCACCCCCGTGTGGACGTCCACACCCGAGTGCCCTCCGCTTTCCCCACATATGCTCAACCATTGGCCGTCCCGTCTCAGGGAGTGGCAACCCACCTGCCCACCCATCAGGCCCCAGACCTGGTAAGCATCCTTGGTGCCACTCTTTCTTGTGGGCTCCATATCCATTCTGTCAGGAAATCCTGTCTTCCCTGCCTTCAGAACATGCCCCGAATCTGACCACTTGGCACCATTTCCGTTGCAACCATAGGTCTCCCTTTCGCTTGGATTATTACTCCCTCGCTGGTCTCCCTGTCCTCCTTCAGTCTGTTCTCAGCACAGCAGCCAGAGGGAAACCTTAACACGGACCTCAGCTCCTGTCCCTCCCTGGTCCAAAGGCCCTTAATGGCTCCCCTCTCCCTTAGGCTAAACTCCACAGAGTCTCAGTGACCTGCAGGGTCCTACATGATCTGCCCACCCCATCCCAACTCCCTCACTCGGTTCCAGCCATTCTGGCCTCCTTTCTGTATTTCCGACACTCTGGGCATACAGCTGCCTCAGGGCCTTTGCACAGCTCTTCACACTGCCTATAATGTTTTTTCCTCAGGCACCTCTGTGGTTGAGTCTCTTCTTTAAGTCATTGTTCTTCTCAGTGAGGCCTCCACCAACCACCGTATTTCCAACTGGAAACCTGCCACTTCTACTCCCAACATAGCCCTAGTTCTCCTTTCCCTGCCCTACTTTTGATTTTTCCACGGTTTGTTTATTAAGTTTATTGTTAATCTCTAGCATGTCAGCTCCCTGAGGAGAGCAGTCTTTGTTTTGTTCACTGATGTGTCCCAAGCATCCAGAACAGTGTCTGGTATGTAGAGGGCCCTCAATAAGTATTCGTTAATATTTTAACTTAACTGTAGGGTAACCCTTTCTCCATGCCAGGTACTTTTCTAAACGTTTAGCAAATGTTAACTACTTTAATCCTTATAATAACCCTATGAAACAGGTACTATTCACATTTCCATCAAACAGGTGATAAAACTGAGGCAACAGAGAGGTTAGGTAGCCTGCACAAGGTCACACAGCTTGTAAGAGACCAAGCTGGGATTCTGATCCTGGTTGTCTCATTCCAAAGCCTGTTCTCTTGACCACTCTGGTACGCCTCCTCTCTGAATGAATGAAGGAGCGGAAGAAAGAATGAGATAGAGAGGTTGGATGGGAGGGAGAGGGGAATTGGACAGATGCTGACAATGGAAACCTTGACAATGGCATCAGGCATTTTCTAAAGCCAGCCTCGGAGTGTAGGACCCCCTGGCTGGTGGTTTCTAAGCACATCGAGGAAAACCAGGCTCCCTTCTTGGAAAGGATGTCTGTATAGATGGCAGGAGAGGTCCTGGCCAGTGGGCAGGTACCAGTTGGCGAGTTGTGTGGCCTTGCGGGGCTTCCTGCAGAGAGGACACCCAACAGCTGTGCCTCTTCCGGAAGGAGCGGGTGGCTGAGTTCCCCTCTGTCTGGGCCTGTGCAGGGGTGCGCGAGCACTTTGCTGGGGACCTGTGTGCCCGATCAGCCTGTCCCCACTCAGGCACACCATGCACTTCCTGCCCGGGGAGGCCCCGGGCCTCCTTGCCGCAGGGCTCTGGCTCTCCACTGGGCCTTGGCGGTTCAGGATTGGGGACTTCTCTTCTTTGGACACATCCCTGGAGGTAGTGGCGCTGAGGCAGTGAGGGAGGTAGTCTGTGCTTTCTGTTCTAGGCAGTTGACAAAACAGTGTTTTGGGCCTCATCAGCCACTGGACGGCCTGCCTTGTCAGCCGTGTCTGCCTGGGGTTTCCAGGATTGGCATCCAGGGACCTGCCCCGATCACCTGCTCCTCTGGCAAAGGGCTTTCTTCCTCGTGGCTTCCCCGTGGCATCCCCTTCCTGAGGACCCCGGGGTGCTTGTGAGAGGCCATGGGGCAGATGGTCCAGCCCCAAGAAAGCAAGACTCCTGGCCATGCTGGAAAGCCACTAAGTTGGTCAACGTGTAGCGTGCCCTGATGAAAACTTGGTATTTCCAGAAGCGTGTGCCTGCATTCTTTAGTTCTGCCGCATCTGCTTCAGCAACTGCCGTGGAGTGTCCCGTGGCTTCTTGCTCAGATTCATGTGTGAGGTTGGGCAGTGCGAGGCTTGGAAAACCTTCGGGATCTGATGCTCACCCTCAGTTCCAAAAAGCTGTGCTCTGTGGGGGTGCAGGAGGGAGGAAGGATGGCTGGGGGAGCAACTTGTGGCTTAGAGGCTTGTCTGACTGTGCTGCTGGTGGTGATGGTAGTGATGGCGACAGTGATGATGGTGGGGACCGAGGTGGTGCTGGTGCTGGTGGAGGTGATGATGGTGATGGTGGAGGTGACGGCTGCCATACTTGGAGCACTTACTCTAGTGCTTACAACAGCCATACTATTGTTCCCAGTACACAGATGAGCAAACTGAGGCTTAGGGAGGTTGAGTGAGTCGCCCAGGGTGGTGCTGGAAGTGGCATTTCATCGCAGACAGATTTCATCTAAAACCAGCACTCTCACCACGACACTCTCCTGTCCCCCATGATTAGTAGGCCCTTATTAGCTCTCCCACTCAAGACCTTTTGGAAGCACACAGCAGCCAGACTGACACCTTTAAAGGGTAAACAGGTAATACCACTGCTCTGCTGCACCCTCCAGCAGCTTCTGAGAAGAAAGTCTCAGCTTCTCACTACAGCTCGGGGACCCTGCCTGCACCACCCTGTCCTTCCTCCTCTCTCTTCCACAAGCCCTGCCACCCTCGCCTTCTAGCCGTGCCTCCAGCCTGCCAAACTCTGTCTGGCGCCAGGGCCCTTGTACTCGCTGCTCCCCTGCCTGGAATTCTCTGTGCCTGGATCTTTCCCTGGCCAGCTCGAATGTCACCTCAGGGAGACCCCTGTGACCATAGACTAAGTAGCCTCTGCTGCCCAGGCCAGGCCCATGTGGTTCCAGCCTCATGCTTATCCCATTACCTGATCTGACATGATCTTTTTTTTTTTTTTTTAAAGATTTTATTTATTTCTTAGCAAGAGAGTGCACACAAGTCGGGGTGGGGAGTGGCAGAGGGAAAGGAAGAAGCAGACTCCCTCCTGAGCAGGGAGCCTGACGTGGGACTCGATCCCAGGACCCTGGGATCCTGACCTGTGCCGAAGGCAGACGCTTAACTGACTGAGCTACCCAGGCGCCCCGACCTGTCATGATCTTGTGTGTCATCTGGCTACATACCTATTCTTTCCCACTCAGCTGCAAGCCCCCAAGGGCAGGGACCATGCCCATCCTGTCGTTCAGCCTTCTCTCAGCACCTGGCACATCACTGGCTTCAACATGTGGCTGTGGCCCGAATTGGTGAATGAATGGGGTGTGGGAGAGAAAGAAAAGTAATTAAATTCTTTTTTTTTTTTTTAAGATTTTATTTATTTGACAGAGATAGCGAGAGAGGGAACACAAGCAGGGGGAGCGGCAGGCAGAGGGAGAGGCGGGCTCCCCGCTGAGCAGAGAGCCTGACGTGGGGCTCCATCCCAGGACCCTGGGATCATGACCTGAGCCGAAGGCAGATGCATAACTGACTCAGCCACCTAGGCGCCCCAAGCAATGAAATTCTTAAAATCTTTACTAGTTTGGACTAATTAGAGAAGGCTAGGCTGGTTTAGGGCTCTTTAAAAGGAGTGAGGGTTATTCCTTTCAGGTCAGAAAGGACCACTAGGTGCCCAAGTGGAAGGGGGTATTGTCTCGTGACCTTCCACAAATGAACTGTTCTAAATGAACAAGCACATAAAAATGATTTGTAATGGACCTATCAGGGTGCATGTGTTTACAAGGTATTGAAAATGTATTTTTAGTCACTTACATACTTCCCTGCAATCTCGCTGACACTGTTCCTCCGCTGATAAATTTTCTGACAGTGAAGGCAGTAGATTTCATCAGAGCCTTTCTCTAAATTCAAATGAGCAAACTCCGATTTAATGAGATCCCTCTGCTCCCCTAATACACACACACACAACGTCTCTTTGCAAGTGGCCCTGGGTGAGCAATCTCACACCCTCGTCCACTCCCCAGGGCTGGGGATTAGATGCCCGAGAACAGACTTCTAACAGGGAAGGTGCTCGCGCTGCTTTAACATCTGCTGAGGCCTTAAAAGCTTTGGTGTTTTGCAAGGTGTGTGAAAGAGCCTTCATTATTTTAGAGATGGGACCTTTCTGTAAATGCCTAGGAATGGAACTTACGCGACACTCCCTTAAGAATTTGCAAACATGCGTGTTCCCAAAGACCCACCTATATGCACGTGTTCATAGCTTTATTCATAGTCGCCCAAAACAGGAAACAACACAAATGTCCATCAGCAGCAGAATGAATAAACAGGTTGTGACCTCTCCATACGGTAGATACCTGCACAGGAATGAAAAAGGACCAGTTTACCAATATATGCAGTGAGGTAGGCGAATCTCATGATTTCATCCACGACACCAGTCACAGAGGACTGCATATTTTTGATTCTGTTCACATGAAATTTAGGGAACAGGCAAAACTAGTTTCTGGGGCTGGGCAACTAGGGGGAGCGGGGTTGATGATATGGAGATGGAAACCTTTGGTGTCTGCATGTGGGCTATGGTTATACCTAGTATATAAGTGGAAAAAGTCATTGAGCGTAGTGATTTGTGAATTTTACTGGGTGTAAGTAACACTTCAATAAAGGCTATGTAGTAGATATTTTATTTTATTTTTTTTAAGTATTTTATTTATTTGAGAGAGAGTGAGAGCAAGCAGGGGGAGGGAGAGGGACAAGCAGACTCTGCACTGAGCGCGGAGCCCGACGTGGGGCTCGATCTCAGGACCCCGAGACCATGACCTGAGCCGGAATCAAGAGTTGGACACTCAACTGACTAAGCCATCCAGGTGCCCCTGTAGTAGATATTTTAAAACCATATATTAAAACCTTTTAAAAAAGAAAATAAACAAATGCACAAACAGCCCCCCCAAACATCGCTTGAGCTCCTGCTTTGAGCTAAACACTTCCTCGTGCATGATCTCGGTTAATCCTTATGACCTCCCTATAGGTTTGGCCTTACCGTCTCCACTTGGGAGATGAGCCTGCAGCTCAGGGCAGGAAAGTGACATGCTCAGTGTTGCACAGCTGGTGGGGGGCAGAGCCAGGACTCGGCCTCTTCCAGCACACACAGGACTTTGTGGGCCGCCTCTGGCTCTCCCTTACCAAGTACACGTTCACATTGTACTCAGGGATGCCACTGGCCTTCTCTGCCTGGGAGATGGCCTCGCCCAGGACTTCGCCTGCACCCCCTGCCCCCTCCTGCCCAAAGTGGTTCTAACCCAGGTGTGTCTTGCCCCTTCAGCATCCCTTTGTCAGCAGCGTCACCAGCAACAAGGCCCTGCGGGAGCTGGTGGCCGAGGCCAAGGCCGAAGTGATGGAGGAGATCGAGGACGGCCGAGAGGAGGGGGAAGAGGAGGAGCCCCCGGATGCCACCCCTGTAAGGCCTGGGGAGGGCTGGGGTGCTGGGGCGGGGCGGGACCCCGGCGGGCCTTGGCTCGTATAAGAGGGGACCTGGGGGGGTGCAGGAAGGATTCCTGTTTCTCCCCAGCTTAGGGATTATAGCCCCCCACGCCACAGGTTACGTAAGTCAGCACACGGGCCAGGGCGAGGCAGCGGGGGTGTGCTGGCCAGACTCTGTACGTTCTCAGGAAAGAGCAGTAATCTAGATTTTCACATGGGATCTTCCAGTTTTTAAAAGTTGGTAGCTGACTCATTGCTTCCCTGCCTTTTTCCTGTTGTGGCTCACATGCGAAATGAAAATGCTTTTAGCACCCCGTCGGATAAATGCAGATGAAGGCTGCACGTGACCGAAGGCAACAGGCCGAGGGGCTCTGGGCACCCCAGACCCTGCCTGGCTGCCCCGAGTGCCCAGGGGACCCATGTCTTGGCACATTTGTAACCCATCAGCAGCTTCGGCACTTGGCTGAATTTAAATTTAAATTAAAGCTAACTTAAATTTTTAAAAACCTGTGAGCCAAGCAAAACATGTCTGTGGGCTGGATTCTGTCCTGAGCTGCTGCTTTCAGATCCCTGGTCGACGCCACTTGGGAAGGGCCTCTTGCAGGAGGGAAACTTGCTGTCCAGATGGTGCTGTGGAGCGAGTGAGGCAGGGGCTGGACTCTGTCAGGGAATGGACAGTGTAGTGCTGTCTCGAGTTTGATGGGATCCTGGGAGAAGCCACAGGCTGGCCTGAATCCTTACCAGGATGAGGAAGGGAAGCACTGAGGAGGAGGAGTGGAATCAGCCCTGCAGCCCTGGCCTTTTACGGAGCCCTTGCTGGGGGCCGGGCACTCCACAACTCTGATGGGAGAACCAGGGCTCCATTTTAGAGATGGGCAAAGTGAGGGGTTGAGGAATGACGTGGCCGGTTGAGCTGATAGGCGGCAGGGCCAGGTGTAGGAAAACCGTGGTGGGAGAGGGAGGTGGTGTGTCTGGGGCCTGGCTCCAGGAGGATGCCGCGGACAGCAAGGTTGGGGAGGGAGGCAGACAACGGTCACACCAGCCTGGTTCTCCACAGGCAGGAGGCTGACCCTTGTCATGAGGGCGGTGGGGGCTGAGGGTTTCAGGCAACGGCTGGGCATTGGTGTGGGGATGATAGGATCAGATCTGAATTTCTGAACCATCATTCTAGGGTTGTTGAATAAGGAGGTGGATTAGAGTTCCTTCTGGAAGCTTCCATATCCAAGGTTAAAACCAGCAGCCATTAGGACCCAAGGGAACGCTACGGTTTGATTCCATCAATGTCATATTTGAAAACAAGCAAACTAACCTGTAACACTTAGAGATCAATGTCAGGACAACTATTATGTCAAGGGGAGAGACAGACATAGGCGGGGGTTCTCTGAGGTGAGCAGTGTTCCACTCCTGACATGGAAGGTGGCTCTGTGGGTGCTCACTTTATTCCCTGGATGTTTATATTTTATCCACAGAAATGAGTGTTCTATTTCATAGTAGCAATGTTTCCAGTACTTACCAGCTCCCAAAGCTCTAAGAAACAAAACAAAACTTTAAAAACTTAGTGGATGATAGAGTGAATCTAGCTTCTGGATAGTTTTGGTTTGGTTTTTATGCAACTAAAACAAAACAAAACAAAAAAACCCCAAAACTTGAATTAGTTGCCATCTAAAAATCGGGCGGTGTCAGGTAAAAATCCAGATTCTAGCCTTGTCTTAAAAAATTGGAAGGTCTGTCTCCATTGTCACAATTAGCTGGAGCAGGGTGGCCACTGCCACCCTTAGACAGGGGATGAGCTGTCCAGCTGTCCACAGTTGCCTCCGCCTATAGGAGGAAGAACAGGTATTCAATGAACTCGAAACAAGTAGTAATTCTATTGTTGGTTAGACAGTAGGGAGTCGTGAGGACTGTGGCTCACTGGAGAGGGATGACTATGGTACGTCCTTGACCCTGGCCTATTTCACCTTGTGAGTGTCTGACTTTCTGGCCCTGCTGCATCCCTGACTCTTGTCTTAGACATGAAATAGCATGGTCTTGACTCTTTTTTTCTTCCTAGCCTCTGGGGAACCATACTCGAGACTCTTCTGAGGTGAGTCAACTGAGTCTCAATACCGACAAGCTTCTCAAAGAATCATCCTTCACCCCACTGCCACCCAGCCAGCCTCAGGACAGTGTGAATGGGCCCAGCCAGCCCTCTGGGGACAGATCCCTCCAAACCACCAACCCTCCAGATGTGGCTCCTGGAAATGAGAATGGCCTGGCAGTGCCAGCACCCTTCCGGAAGTCCCGGCCAGTGTCAATGGATGCCAGAATTCAGGTGTCCGAGGAGAAGCAAGTCGCTGACCATGGCGGGGACCTCAGTCCAGCAGCCATCAGGTCCCAGAAAGCAAGCCAGAGCCGTCCCAACAGCAGTGCCCTAGAGACCTTGGGTGCCGAGAAGTTGGCCAACGGCAGCTTGGAGCTCCCCACCCAGGCAGCCCCGGGCCCGTCCAAGAGGGACTCAGACTGTGGCAGCCTCGCCGCCTCTGAGAGCATGGACTACAACACCTCCCTCTCAGCCGACCTGTCCCTGAACAGAGAAACAGGCTCTCTGTCCATCAAGGTAATGCCACCAGTTCTACCACAGGTTTGGAACTGGAGTGTGTTGGATGTGCTGCCCAGTTTTGGTTTTGGAAGCCTTTAGTGGCCGCCTTCCCTTTTAAGTGGTTCATGAGGGTTGCTCTTCTTTAAGGAGCCTTGAGCTCAATTCATAGTGTAATCTCCAGAATATCTCCGTTTAGTCTGGGATTTAGTCATGCCGGGCAGTTGGCTCAGGTTTAAATTTCAGTTTGTGTATCCATTTAAGTTGGGTTTGGTGAAGTTTGGGAGAGAGGGGTCTAGGAGTGAAGTTCTCTTGTTTGCGGGTCAGCCATGTGGTCCAGCTGCTGACTGGTCGATTCAGTTACAGGGAGTGGGCTTAAGGCACTCTTGGGGCTCAGTGGCCTTTCTGGAGGTGGCTAACATTGTGAACAACAGTAGCCACTGAGCTTGAGGGCTCAGCATGGAGGCCAACACTGAGAAGTGCTTTACAGAAAATGGAGGCTCCTTCATCATCTCCGTGTACGGATGAGCAAGCGGAGGCTTAGGTGGGGAGTGGAGAGGTGGGCAGCCCCACAGACTTGGTGCTCTGAACCCCATGTGTCATTCTGCTCTCCCAGTGGAAGCCTGGCTGCCTCCTCAGGAAGGGCTGACGCCCCCCTGCCCACACTGATAAATCTCAGGATGTTCTTGAACTCACTCTTGGCCACTTGACCAGGCCACACTGAGGGTCAGCCCCAGCCGAGGCTGATTTTAGGGAAGATACTGAATCGTTTTGTTTTTTTCTCCTGTTGTTTACTTGGTGGAAACCACACAGTAGAGACTCAAAAATATTTGCTAAATGAAGGGAAGTGAAAGAAGGAAAAGCAGCCAGCCAGCCCAAGAATTAGCTTCAGGAAGAGAAGGAAAGCACGGTTCTAACATGTCGCTAGGACAAAAACAGTGGCTCTAATGTACACGCAGCTTCGGGGCCCATCATCTGCCTTAAGACAGACAGCCTGTCCCTTCTCTACTTCAAAAGACACTAAGCCAAAAGAAAAAAAAAGAGGTAATTATAAAAAATAAAGGGCAGAGCAGGGTCTCCCTTGCCTGTTCTCACGGGTGTTGAGAACATTCCTTTACTGGCTGACTGGCAGTGAGTCAGGGAACACGGCTGTTCTGAGAGTCCATGGGCTGCGTCAGCACCTGCAGCGAGATGAGGAGCCTGTTACCTCGGGGTGTGTGGCGGAGGGCAGGAGGCCCCGTGACCCCGAGCAGTCCTAGTGGGAGGGCTGCGGTCCCCGGGCTCTTTTCCTCCCCGCCACGCCCCATCTCTCACCGGTAGTCTGGAGTTGAGCCCTAGCATGCGCTGGCTGGGTACCGTAGGAGGATGAGAGTCGGGTGGGGCTGCTCAGTGCCCGTGGTATTCGGAGCCCCTGGAACCCCCCGGGGGGGGGGTGAGCCCTCAGGGAGTGAGTGCTGGCCACTGGTCCTGGCTGAGCAGGAGCAGGGCTTCAGAGCCCACTTTGAGGGGATGGAGACTTAACTGCGGTACGCAGCCCTGGCCTGCCCGCTTTTTTCTGGCTGGTAGGCCCTTGGGGCAGAGTCAGGAACGCAGGGCTGGGCTACGTCAGGAAGGGCCTTGGAAGCCCCTTGAGGTCAGAGCGGGGAGATGCCATGATGACTCCAGGGCAGGCACACAGGCTCTCAGCTGAGTCGGGACCAATTTTCAGAGGGTATTTGAACCCCCCCGAGGAGTCCTGGCCAGCACGCTGAGCAGTTGTGTCTGAAATGTGTGATTATTCACAGGAAGAGATAAAGATTATGAATAATTTCATGGGAGCTGCTCCAGACAGGTGTGACCTCCCATGGAGTTCAGGGCAGCTTGGGTTTGACTTCCAAATCAGTTATGAACTTCAGTTTTCTGGGCTCTTTGGGTTTGGCATTGTGGTAGGAGATTGTGGTCTGCAGTCCTAACTGTCAGATATAAATACCAAGTCCTGAACCGTCGCCATGAGCTGGGCTGTGTCCCCCATGCACTCTCTCGCTGTGTCTTTGTCAGCACCCTGGGAGGTGAGCACTACTGTGCTCTTCCTCTGACGAGTTTAGGAAGCTGAGGCTTGGACAGGACAAGGGACTTGCTCAGGGTCACAGAGCCAGTACGTGGTAGAGGGAGGATTAGAACCCGGTTCTTTCTGGTGCCACATCTGTGTGTGAGTGCTGGCAGCCAGGTGTGGGGCCGGGACGGGGCAGTGTTTGAAGGCCAAGATCAGGGGGTGTAGAGGGGATAAGCTGAGACACTCAGGATCCCAAGTGGGGAAGCTTGAGGCAAGAGGGGGATGATGGACTGCTCTGTCCTCCCTGGATGTCGAGGCTGTGGGGCCAAGAAGGCTGTGGGCCACACCCCTCTGTCACCCACAGGTTCTTAGCTGAAATCCTGAGTTTTGCCTAATGATTTTACCCTGCCAGGACTCAAGGCTGCACAATAAAACCCTCAAGAGGACACGCAAGTTCGTGGTGGATGGTGTGGAGGTGAGCATCACCACGTCCAAGATCATCAGCGAGGACGAGAAGAAGGATGAGGAGATGCGATTTCTCAGGCAAGCCTGGGATGGGCTGCTGGTGGCAGTAACAGGGCGGGGTGTGGTTGGGGGGGGCTGTAGGCTCCTTTGGCTACAGAACTCTCTGTGTGTCTACAGCATGAAGTGAGGGATCAAGGACACAAAAGGCAACTGGTTTTGGTCCTGCACTCCCCAGAACACCCATCCATTCATCTACCCATCCACCTATCTATTTACTTATCCACCTGCCCATCCATTTACCTGTCTGTCCACCCACTCATCTACCCACCATCCATCCATCCACTCCTTCATCCATCTACCCACATATCCATCCACCCACTCATCTACCCGTCATCCATCCGCTCACCCACCACCCACCCACTCTCTCATCTACCCATCAGTTCACCCATTCACCCATCCATCCGTCCATCCGTCCATTCACCCATTCACCCATCCACCATCCATCATCCATCCTCTCACCTACCCACCCATGCACCCACTCATCCACCTACCCATGCGCCCACTCATCCACCTACCCATCCATCCACTCATCCACCTACCCATGCGCCCACTCACCCATCCACCCACTCATTCACCCACCCATCCACCCACTCATCCACCTACCCATGCACCCACTCATCCACCTACCCATCCATCCACTCATCCACCTACCCATGCGCCCACTCACCCATCCACCCACTCATCCACCCACCCATCCACTCAGCCACCTACCCATCCCTCCACTCGTCTATTCACCCATCCATTCATCTACTCACCCACCCACCCATCAATCCATCTACCCATGTACTTCCCCATCTACCAGGTTGGGGGACGTGGTAGCGATCCAGATAGTTGAGGCTGTTGCCGTTGTAGAACTTAGACCTGATGGGCCAACACGTGATAAAAAGTCATCCCCAGTTGTAGTACACGCTGTGAAGGAAGTAATGGGTGATATGATAGTGAGCCCCTGGGCTGGGGGGAGGCTGCCCTGTGTGTGGGAGACCCCGAGTGGAGTGGCTGGGTGGGCACAGAGGGAGCTGCAAAGCTAAGGCCCAAGGAGTGACTGCTGGGTGGGCTTGTTTAGGAAGCTGAGAGGATAGGGTTGGAGTGTGCAGTGTGAGGGCAGAGGTCACGTAGACCTGTGGGCCAGGGTGGAGTGTGGATTTTATCCCAGGGGCAGCCAGAGTAAGATAGCTGGAGAGTGACTGGCTTTCTTTTCCCTTCGGAAAGATGGCTCTGGAAGCTGCAGGAGCATGGGCTGTAGAGAGCGACACTGCACAGGGTGACAGGGAGACCCTGTCCAGCACAGTCGGGCTGCAGGCTTGGGCTGGGGCAGTGGCTGGGAGGAGGGAAGAAGGGGTCAGTTCAATGTACATCTTGGAGGCAAAACCAGTGAGACTGGTGAGGGGAGGAGCGTGTGAGGCAAAACTGTCTGCTGGGAGCCATCTCTGCACTTTGGAGGTGCTCAGGCCCCCTAACAGCCCTCCTCAGGGAGATGCCATTTCCCCAGTTTTGTAAATGAGGAAACAGTGTTTCTTGGCAGGTAAGTTATTTGCCTTGGGTCACCCAGGTGAGAAGCTAGAGCTGCGATTCTAACTAGACCTATCTGTGTGAGGGTTCTACCAGGCTTCCACTGGACCGGAAGCTTCCTGGGGCTGCCAGGGGTGGGGGGCTTAGCAGTCAGGGAGGCCTTGGAGCCACAGAGCTCCCTTGGAGCCAGACCTTTGCAGGATAAATTCATTATTAGTTGGAGAATATTTCTAGAACATAGAACACATTTATCTTTTTAAAAAGCACAAGCATTCCAAAGCCAAACTGAAGCAGTTTTGGATGCTCTGGGGCACTTCCCCTCTCTAGGGACCACAAAGATGAGAGGCTGACTTTTCATCAGTGGTGTTTCTGCATTTCTGCATGAATGCATGTACACATGTACGCACACGCGCGCACACACACACACACGCATCCTGGTCATGGGGTCTGGGGAGGCTCACGACAGAGGGTGGGAGGATGGTTGTTCTTGGAGGGTGACACCACCTTCCATTTTCCTGGTCGCCTGGGAGGTTACCTGTTCTCCTAAGCTTCAGACCTCAAGGGCTGAGTTTCCTTTCCATGATCATCTTCTCTCTGGGCAGTTCGGGTTCCTGGGTTGAAACTGTAGATCCCCACCATACCCCATCTAGAATTGATGCCCTCTAGCCCTGGCCCTAGGCCCCCACCCTTTTGCTAAGCAGAGGAGCTGTGTGTTGCTGAGGTTTGAAAGGTGAGTCTTCGCAGAGGTCGAGGGCCTGTCTCCTGGTCCGGAGGGCCAAGTGTCCTGTATACCCGGCTGGGCTGCCAGGCTGCGCAGGGGTGATGGAAGGCTCTCATTGTTCCCCGGCTGGCTGTTGCCCCCCACTGCACCCCCAGTCCACCCCCCTGCCTTCATGGATGCTAGGATTTCCAGAGAATTGGGTCACACACAGGTTTTGAATTGTGTCACCAGATATTCACTTTCCCAGACTGAGGCTTCTAGGTCAGAGTTCTTTCTCCTTTTCCCTAAAATCGCTGGGGCCAGTGCCTTCCTTCTATAAGACATCAGCCCGTCTCTCGGCCTGCTTTCCCCTGTGAGAACCCAGGTCGGGCAGGGAGTTAGTGTTCGAACCTGGCCGCCCACCTTCTTTTGTATTCCTTTGTTTTTTGGTCAGGTGTTCTCTGAGCCTTAAGTTTCTTTGGAGTCAGGATTTCTGTGTCTTGTTAACACTCTCAACCCTCTTACCGCCCAGAGAGCAGAGGCTCAGATGGAAGCTTCTTTGTGGCTGTGAAGAGTGTCTCTGGTTTCCCAGAGACCTAGAATAGAAGCCTTTGCCTCTTGTTATGATCACTCCAGCAGCTACCACTTAGTAACAAAGTTAGCGAGTTTTACCACTTGTCTGCGCATGCCGGGGGCGGGTACAACAGGCATCCCCGCATTTAGCCCTCAAAGAACCTGAGAGGTAGACATGATTTGTGCAGTTTACAGATGCAGGAAGAGGGGCCTAGAGATTGAGTGACTGCCTGAGTGCACCCAGCTGGAAGTCAGCAGAGCTAAGATTCAAACAATGTTCCTCTGACCCTCAGAAGCGTGCTGGCCTCTAGTTGGGGGGCAGGTGGACTCTGGCTGAGAACAGGACACAGGCCTCATGGACCCAAATCCTGAGAGCCTGCCAGGGAGCCCTGATTCATAGGAAGCCCATGTTCTTCATCATTTTCTTTTCTGATGACATAAATGATACGTATCAATCTTTAGTGGATTTGCCCAGAAAGAAACACAGTTAACACTTTGGAGTTTATCCTGCAGTTATTTGTGTGTGTGTGTGTGTGTGTGTGTGTGTGTGTGTGTGTAAACACATAAACACATATACACACACATCAACAGTATATGTGTTACAAAATTAAGGTGTACTCTGTGGTTTAGGTCAAGTTTTTATTGTATTGATATTTTGAATAGTTAATACAATGTCATGGTTCAAAATTCAAAGAAATGAAAACAAAACAAAAAAAAAGAAGAGGGTAAATAGTGAAAAATCTCCCTCCCTCCCTTTCCTGCCAGGCATCTGGTTCCCCTCTCTGTGTTAATATTTTATATGTAATCCTTCTTGAAGTACCGTGTTTAAATAGGAAAGTGAACACACACACACAGACATATAATTTTTTTTTTTATTTTTCTCCCATAAGGTAGGGTAACAATAATAGACCCACTTGTCAACATCTTGCTTTTTTCACTTAGAGATCATTCCAAATCTATTCGTGTAGAATTGTTACATTTTTTTAAAAAAATTGGCCCATTTTTAATAGATGTTTTTTCATGTAATTAAATATTTTTTAAAACTTGATTTTTTTCATGGTTGTGTACACAAAATTAACATCTGGTGGATGCGTTTTAATTTATTTAATTAGACCTATATGATGAACATTTAAGTCATTTTTAGTTTTGGACTATTATAAATAATTTTGTTATGGATATCCTTATTCAGTTGTGTTGTGCATCTATGAATATTTCTATAGAATCAATATCTAGAAGTGGAAATACTGTATCAAAAGGCACGAACTTATTACCAGTTGTCCTCCAGAATGTACCAGTCCATACCGGCAGGTTATGAAAATATCAATTGCCCCTCTTGCCTTTTTAATGAAAATGGAATTTTTAATTTGCACCTCATGTCCATATTAGGTAATTTTAAAATTTCTTTTTGTTTTTTCTTTCATGTCTATTCGTGTTTTGTGTTCCTTTTTAAAAGTAGGCTCCTCCTGTTTTTCTAATAGATTTGTAAGTATTCTTTATACATTGATATTAATGTTTTGCCTGTCAATAAATGTCAAGTTCAGCCTGAGTTCTAGTCCTGCCTCTGCCCCGTTCCACGCGCCAGCCTCCAGTGTCTCTAGCCAGAGTTATGTGATTGCTGAGGTGCACACCCTTTCACTCTTCAGGCGCCAGGAGCTCCGAGAGCTTCGGCTCCTCCAGAAAGAAGAACACCGGAACCAGACCCAGCTGAGCAGCAAGCATGAACTGCAGCTGGAGCAGATGCATAAACGTTTTGAACAAGAAATCAATGTGAGTGTGAGAAAGGATGGGTCCCCGGAGGGCTTCTTGCCCCGTGTTTTCTTTAAGGGCAGTAGAGAGCCCAATTCCTGTGCTTTCCTGATCTCCTGAGGCATTGGCTTTGTAAACCCAGAATCTCATGAAAGCCCCAGTGCTTTTCTGAGTCATTCGGGAGGGTGTCCAGAGGGAGACTGACCTTTGTTGAGTACCATACAAGGTAGACAGTCCGGTCTGCCTTTTGCACATGAGGAAACAGAGACTCACCAAGGTTAGGTGACTTGTCCCAGGTCACAGGGCAAAGAGGTGGTTGAGCTGGGATTCAAGCCCAGGTCTGAAGATAAGCTCTGGGCTCTCCCCATCTTGCTTCCCATCTTCCTCCCAGGTATAGAGTGACTTTGCTGAATTTCTCCTTCTGCTCCTTCCAGGCCAAGAAGAAATTCTTTGACACGGAGCTGGAGAACCTGGAGCGTCAGCAGAAACAGCAAGTGGAGAGGATGGAGCAGGACCATGGTGTGCGCCGCCGGGAGGAGGCCAGGCGGATCCGGCTGGAGCAGGATCGGGACTACACCAGGTTCCAGGAGCAGCTCAAACTGATGAAGAAGGAGGTGAATATGTGTTGGGTGGAGGCTGGGGTGTCTAGGTTGCAAGTGATCAAAACCCCAGCCGAGCCCCACTTCAGCAACGGAGGGAATTTGGGGAGCTCGTGTACCTGAGGAGCTCACGTCCATGTGTCTGGGTTTACGTGCTCCAGCTGCACCGTGAGGAGCTACTTCTCCATCATCTGGGCTCTGCTGTCTTGTGTTGACTTGACTCCCAGGCAGCTTCCTGGGCATCCTCCCAGCTTAGCAACCCCAGCTGAAAGAGAGCAGGGGAGAAGGAAGGGACGGCAGCCCAGGGGGATCTGAGATGCTTTGACCAGAAGGGGGAGCGGCTGCTGGGTGGCAAACGCAGTATGTCTTCTGTGCCCTGCCCTCCTTCTGCCCAAACAGCAGTCCCCTAGTTGGGACCCACGTGGCTCTTCTCTTTCCTCTCCCAGCTGGAAGAGGAAGGGGGAGGTGGCAAAGAGGTAGATGGTCCTGAGACAAAGGGAGAGGGGCAGATTTCCCAGCCTGCCCTGGGGAAGGGCATCTGGGTCCCAAAGAACAGTGCACACGTCCCTCTGTGGAGCCTGTCACTGGCAGGCTGGGCCATACTTGCTGGCCATCCCCAGTCTGCAGAACAGCCTCTAAGGGTGGTCTGTGGTGCTGCCAGCCTCAGAGCCCAGCTCCCAGACGGCGGTGTGTGGGTGTGAGGCGGTGTGTGGGTGTGACGTTTGTTGTATCCAGGGGGCCTCAGGCAGCTGCAGGGGCAGGGCTGGGGTGAGACATGTGGGCACAAAACTGAAGGGGGCGCCAAAAACCTTGGTAATCATCAAGATAAATAATATCCTAGTGTAGTGTTTTAAAATAAAAATTACTGCAAAATATTCATGATGAACAGAATGTCAGTTACTTAAAGTCAGTATCCAACAGGGCCAAGATTAGGGTGAGGTGATGAGTTTGAGTCCTGCAAATATAGGGCTGGATCCTGTCTGTATTTAAAATTTTGATATTCGTGGGGCACCTGGGTGGCTCAGTTGGTTAAGTATCTGCCTTCAGCTCAGGTCATGATCCCAGGGTCCTGGGATCGAGCCCCGCGTCAGGCCCTCTGCTCAGCGGGGAGCCTGCTTCTCCCTCTCTCTCTCCTGATGCTCCCCCTGCTGTGCTCTCTCTCTCGCTCTCTAATAAATAAAATCTTAAAAAAAATTTGATAGTCATGATTTGGGGCATGAATTCGGAAATTTTTAAATGTAATTTATCTTGATTACTGAAGTTTATGGTATTCCTTTTTATGCCTGAGATGAGTGCCTCACTGGCCTTACCTGGCCCTCCTGCCGAGAGCCAGGCCAGTGGGCTGGGGTACGGTGCTGATACTAAGCACACCCCCAGCTCCAGGGCAGGGAGCACAGGCTTGGGAGTCAGGCCTGGTTCTGAGTCTTGGCTCTGGACCACTAACTATGTTGAGCTTTGGACAGCAACTTTCCTGAGTCCCACTTACCTCCTATCAAAATGAGAGCTACTCAGCACCTCTTTTATTGACTATGCACACGTATGGCACTGTGCTAGGTGCCGGGGGTACTGAGCAAAAGAGAGAGGAACCCCACTTTCAAGATGCTGTTCACTGCCACGGAAGCCAGAAGGTTTTGGCCGTTATAGGTGTGCATTTTCTATACCCATCTCTTTCTCCTTTCCTTCTGGCATTCCCCAAAACACGAATATTACACCTTTGGTATTTTCCTGTAAGTCTCTAACGCTTTAGTCTTTGTAATCCTTTCTCTTTCTTGTTCATGTTGTATAATTTTTATTACTTGCTCTTCAAATTCCCTGGCCCCTCTGTCACCTCCATTCCACCCTGGCTCTGTCCAGTGCTTTCTGTGTTTAGTGTCAGATGCTGTATTGTTTAGTCCTAAGTTTTTTGTGTGTCTCTTTTTAAAAGATTTTATTTATTTGAGAGAGCACATGTGCGTGCATGTGGGAGAGGGGCAGAGGGAGAGGGAGAAGCTGACTACGCACTGAGCACAGAGCCTGACAAGGGGCTCGATCCCATGACCCCGAGATCATGACCTGAGCTGAAACCAAGAGTCGGATGCTTAACCAACTGAGCCACCCAGGCACCCCTTGTCTCTTTTTTAAGGTTTGTATTTCTTTGTGGCAACATTCTGTCTTTCCATTAACCTCAAGTATGTTTACCTTCACCTGACGGAGTGCAGTTATAATAGCTGCTTTAAAGTTTTTGTCTGGTAATTCCAGTGTCTGGGTCATCCTGGAATTGGCGTGTGACGGTTTTTTCTTTGAAAATTGGTCCTAGTTCCTGATTCTTTATATGTTAAGTTTGGATTTATCATTGCCATTTTGAATGTTACTGTCTGTAGACTCTGGGTCCTGTTACAGTCTAGAGAATGTTGACTTTTTTATTTTAGCAGGCAGTCCGATCCTGGTAGGCTCAGACCATAGGTTCTGTCTTGTCTTCTGGGGGTGGCGGCTCCAATCATAGTGTGGTTTTCAAAGCCCCTGCTATACTGCTTTGGGTCTGTCTTGTCCCGCTCAGCTCGGGTGAACTTGAGATGTGTGTGGACTCATGCACAGAATTAGGGTTTCCCTCCTTCTGCTGCCTTCTCTCTGGGATTCTTCCCTTACGCTCTGACCCGCACAAGCCCAGAACATGAGGTTTCTTACAGAGTGTTAGTGTTCCCACTGCACCACTGTGCAGGTCTGGGACTGGAGCAAAGCCAGGAGCACAAAAGGAAAAAAAATTAGGAAACTGTCCTAACCTCTTCTATAAGTTTTGGCTCCTCTCATGGTCACCTGTTTTTGTTTACTTTTCAGAGCCCTTGGGTAGTTCTTTTTTGTATTTTACCAGGGTTTTTCATTGTAGTCAGTAGGAGAGAGAGGCTGCTTTGGCTTACACTCACCATGCTGGAAGAACTCCCCTGGAATGTTTTTTGATCATGGACAGTATTTTTCCACCAGCTGCTCCTAAGAGCCCTCTGTCAGTGAGTTCGGGGTGTCAGACACCTGGAAAGGTGTGGGTTCCTCAGAACTGTCTCAGGAACTCTGGGTGCCTTAGAGAGAAATGTCATGAATCTCTTCTCCATCTTCTCTTATAAAAGACAGAAGCCTATTTCCAGCTGGCTTGAGCATGCTTGCTGGCCTCTGACCAGGAGGGCAGAAGTGTCACCAGGAATCCTTCCTTTTCAGGTTTTGGCATTGCCTTCTGGCACTGAGTTTTGTCTCAGGCAGGCCCCTCCAGGATGGCCCACCGTGGCCTCCATCCTCCCAGTTTAGAAACCCCAGAGGAGAGAGAGCAGCTTTCCTCGATAGTTCTGGCACACATCCTAAAGCTCTCACTGGCCCATCTGGGGTCATATGCTCATCTCTGAACCAGTCCCTGAGGCCAGGGCATGGAATATGGTGACTGGCAGCCTGCGTCATGTGCCCGGCCTCGAGCCAGATGGAGGGGGGTGGGTGCAGTGAGCCCCACCTGAACCTCAGGAGCTGAGGAGACGGTGCCTGAAGTGTGTCTTCTTAACCAGGGAGCTAGCACTCCTGAGGGGTTAAAAGTAGCTTCGATTATTATAATGGTTTAACAGATTGCTAGTTTATCCGTGGGATTACTATTTCATGGGGGCAGGTGATTAGGAAGAAAATGTCTAAAGGTTGAGAAAGGCTGCCCTAAGGGAAAGGGAGGTGCCGCCATCAGAAGGGGGCTGGATAGCAAGCAGCAAAAGCAGTGCCTCTTTGCTCTAGGCGAGTCCAAAACCGGAGCCAGCAGCAGACAGGAGTAGGCCAGTGGGGACCACCTATCCGAGGGGCATGGTGGAGAGTGGGGTTGGAGGCCAGTGTCTAGAAAGCTGAACCCTGTCTTTGGTCTCCCTGACCCAGGAGTTCAGGGGTGAAGACTTCTTTTCTAGGAAATGTGAGGAGGGAGCCTGACCCTGCCACTCTCCACTGTTTCTGGTGCAGGTGAAGAACGAGGTCGAGAAGCTCCCCAGGCAGCAGCGGAAGGAGAGCATGAAGCAGAAGATGGAGGAGCATGCACAGAAAAAGCAGCTTCTCGTGAGTCCTTGCCCCTCAGTCGGGGAGCAGAGGGGCTGGAGAGTCCCAGGTTTGAGACCCTGAATGATCAAGTTCCCCCTCTGTCTATGCCCATGCCTTGCCCCTTGCATACCCATCTCTCACTCTGAGTGCTGAAATCCAGCCTATCCTTGTTAGCCTTCCCCAGGCAGCCTTCCTTGACTGCTCTCACTCCAGCTAGAAGTGAGCTCCCTGGCTTCTGGACACCCAGCCCTTTACATCTACCTCTTCCAAAGCGTTTAGTGCCTCCTGCCTTGTCTTAGGGCTGTTTGCATGTCATATCTCCTTGAATAACCCAGTACATCCACCTGCCCACTTGGCATCTTTTGGAATCTCAGATGTCAAACCCACGATCTCTCAGGCCTGGCCCTGTTCTTGGATTCTGAGGGGGCACTGTCCTCCATCCTGCGTCAGGCCAAAGCCTTGTCATTGTCATTCCTGACGCCTCCTTTTCCTCCAACCCTTTATCACCTCCTAAAGCATGGGTTTTTTTGTTTTTTTTTGGTTTTGTTTTTTTAAGCTCCAAACTGTCTCTGGATCTTGTCACTTTGTCTGCATCTCTGTGACTCTCTGGCTATGGTCATCTTTTGCCTGGACTGCTGCAACAGCCTCCCAGCTAGTCTCCCTGCTTCCTCTCTTGCTCTCCTACAGTCTTCTCTCCCACCAGCCAGTGTGATCAACATGAATTCCAAATCTGATCGTGTCACTCTCCCCCTGTAGCCTTGAGTCTTGAAAGCCCTCAGTGGCTCCCACTTTGTCCATAAGACCAGCCTCCTCATGTGCTTACAAGGCCCGGTGGGTCTGGTTCCAGAGAGCCTCTCCCACCTCGTCTCAGTTCCCTCTGCCCCAGCCTCACCAGCCTTCTCTGTAGCCCTTGTCAGACCATGTACTCACTTTCCTCCCACTATGGAGTCTGTACAGTTTGCTTCCTCTGCCCCCAAATGTACACTTAAAAATGCTTTGTATATTAGCCGGTTTAGCATTCATGGCTTACCAGGGTAGGTGCTGTTCGTTTTTCCTTTGCAGAGGAAGAAACTAAGGCTCAGGGAGGTGACTCTCCGGAGTTAGCAGTATGAGCACGGCCCCAAACTCAGTCTGTCTCCAGACTTCATGTTCTCTCCAGGACACCATCATACTGTCCTACAACCTGTTCCTTGATGGCTATCATCAGAAAAAGAATTCCGGGCTAGGGAGGGTGGGGGAGACCGCCCCCATCCCCACAGAGGGAGAGCAGATTGGCTCTTTAAGGAAGCCATTTTGGCAGTGGCATCGAGAGCCTCAAAAATGTGCACATTCTTGGCTTGGATTTTCTGTTTCTAGAGACTAGTCCTGAGGATAAATCATCACAGAGGTTTACAAATAGCTACCAGAATGTGAAGAGCAGCACCACCTAAAACAGAGATAACCTGGAAACAACCTCTTAGGTATTGGGTGAATAAGCTAGGGTACATATGGGCCATGAAATATTTTCAGCCATTAAAACTCATTTGATAGAAGATTACATTATGACATGGAAAGGTATTTTTAATTTTTAAAAATTACAGTAAAATAGACCCAACAAAAGTTAGCATCTTAACCACTTTAAGCGTACAGTTCAGCAGTATTAAGTACATCCACACCATTGTGCCAACCATCCCCATCACCCATCTCCAGAACCCTTAATCTGGCAAAACTGAAATTACTACTGAATAAATAGTAACACCCCATGATTCCCCTCCCCCAGTCTCTGGCAACCACCATTCTACTTTGTCTCCACAAATCTGACCTACTATACGTGGGATCATACAGTATTTGTCCTTTTGTGTCTGGTTTACTTCAATTAACATGCCCTTGAGATTCACCCACGTTGTAGCACGTGTAAGAATTTCCTTCCTTTTCAGGGCTGAGTAACGTTCCACAGTGTACCTATACCACATTTTGTTTATGCACTCTTCTGTCTGTGGATAGTTATTTCCCCCGTAGCTATTGTGAATAATTCTGTTACGAACATGGGTGTACAAATCTCTAAGTCCTTTTACGTAAACATGTTTGTATAGATACCCCAAAACCAGTTGCTACTCCTGGGTGATAGGATTTGTGGGGATTTTTGTTTTTGCTTAGGTGTTCCCTAAAGTATTTAAATTTTAATTTTTAACTCTTTGTTATGGCAAATTAAAAATATAGGCAGAAAGAGGTACAACCGGAACCCCCTTATTTTTTTTTAATTTTTTTATTGTTACGTTAACCACCATACATTACATCATTAGTTCTTGATGTAGTGTTCCATGATTCATTGTTTGTGCGTAACACCCAGTGCTCCACGCCGAACGTGCCCTCTTTAACAGCCATCACCAGGCTCACCCATCCCCCCACCCCCCTCCCCTCCAGAACCCCCGGTTTGTTTCTCGGAGGCCATCGTCTCTCCTCCGGAAGCTCCTTATTACCTGATCTCGGGAATTACGAACTCATGCCCCCTCACTCCCCCACCCTTCTGTGTTATTTTAAATCAAATCCCACACATCCTGTCATTTCACCTGTAAATGTCTCAGTAGGTATCTCTCAAAAAATCCACAATACTACAAACGTACCTAAACCTTTAAATAGTTAACAATTACTTATTGACACATTTGCAGTTGAATCATTAGTTACATTTCCAATGGTCTCATTAATTTTCTTTTTTACAATTTGATTGAATCAGGGTCCACATAAAGTGCACGTGCCACAATTGGTTGACGTGTCTCTAAGTCTCACATTTCCCCACGTATGTTTTCTCTGCCGCTCATGATGACTTTTCTTCTGTAGCAACAGTAGAGGGTGAGACGGCGAGGCCAGCGCTAAAGGTCTGTCCTCCTCCCTCCCACACAGGACCGGGACTTCCTGGCCAAGCAGAAGGAGGACCTGGAGCTGGCGATGAAGAAGATCACTGCTGACAACAGGCGGGAGATCTGTGACAAGGAGCGCGAGTGTCTCACTAGGAAGCAGGAACTCCTTCGAGGTGGGTGCCAGAGAGTGGGCTCTGCTAGGAACTGCTAGGCTCTTCTCCATCCTAACACCAAACAGCATCCTTCAGAGTGAAACATGGGGACAGCTCCCACTGAAGTCAGGACTGAGGCACAGATACCAGCTGTCACCAACATTATTCCTGGTAAGGGAGGGAGGGATGTAGGGTGGGTAGAAATTGTAAATAAGTACACCAGGTGAACAGGGTGCCGGGGGTGGGGACAGTATTGAGCCCCTTAATAAGAGCTATCGCATATCGAGTGACTGCTTTGCCAGGCCGTGTGCAGTCTTCATGGCTCAATCTCCTTGAATCTTCACCTTAATGCAATGAGGCATTTTTGTAGACGAGAAAACGGAGGCTTGCGGAACGACTGTGCTTTGGCTCGGGTTGCTCGGCTAATGGGTGGTAGAGTGGGCCTTGACCGCGGATCTCCTCTTGAAGCTGAGCTCCTAACCACCCTGGTGTGGGGGCGCTCTGACAGGTTTGCACACTGGCGGGTCCCTCACAGCACGGGACCTTCCAGAGACCCCAGTGTGGGCCACTCCCAGAAGGAGGGCAGAGGAACTCCTGGGGAGAGAGGGCTTCTGTATCTGGATGGGGTCACTCAGCAAGGGGGTCCTAGGGTAGAGCTCTGAAGGGCAGCAGGGCTTAGGGTCTTTCTATAGCCCTGGCTTTATCTCATCTCTGCCTAGCAGATGTTTGTTTGGTGTTTTGTGGGGGGGTGCAAAAGCAAGTGGGCTCTAAATGGCCAAAAATCTGTTGTTTGAGCTACATGTAAAACAGTTGGATGGGTGAAAGTTTGAGTGTGGCGCCTGTGGGCTTTTGAGCCAACGGTGCAGCCTGTCATGAAAAAGTAAAAGACATAGGGCCAGGGGACCAGCACCGTCTCTGGCTTCCTGACACAATGAAGAAGCTACAGCCAGCGCTGTGATGGCCCACACAGCTGAGCAGTGTAGACGCCTCAGTACTTGGGTGCGGGGCAGCAAAATGGGGTCCTGGATGTTCTGACGTTCTGAGGAGCCATAGATGTTTCAGGAAAGCCCGCATTTTCTTTTTTTGTCCCATGATGTCGAGAAGAACCACCCTACTTGTGGGGCAGTGGTTCTGATTTTGGTCAGGAAGCCAAATCACCATTCCGATGTACTGTGGGTGGCTATCGGTTTTCACAGATCAGAATGCAGTGCAATAACCTGACCATTCTTAGTGGGTTGAGCACCAGCCCGCTCTGTGTCTTGCAGGACATGAGGTCTTCATCTGACACCAGCTCCCTGCCTGTGGCTGAGCAGAGGAGAGAATCAGATAATAGGCTTCCAGTGATAAAATGCCAGATACTTCTGTCTCAATCATGTATATATAAGGGACATACAGTGGCCAAGGAGGTGTCCCCCATTTTCCAAAGGAAGAAATAGTGACAAGAGGGCTGTCCTCTTCATGGCGCTTCAAGAGCCCTTCCCACCTGCCCATTAAGAAACACTGAACATAAACATGTCTCCCAAGAACGTTTCTCCCTCTGTGGTGTGGTTGTACCCATTTGGCAGAGGCAGGAGTGGAAGCCCAGAGAGGGTTTACCACCTGTCCCAAATCCTAGTGAATGAGCTGGGCTCCAGCCTAGGTCTTTGGTTTCTCTGGCTTCTGACTCCAGTCACTTCCTGGTGTACCACTCCCCTGGGAGCTATCATCTGATGCCGGGCAGGGCCCAGTGGGGCTCTGGCCATTAGCATCTCATCAGGCCTCATCCTCCACAGACCGGGAGGCAGCCCTATGGGAAATGGAGGAGCATCACCTGCAGGAGAGGCACCAACTGGTGAAGCAGCAGCTCAAAGACCAGTACTTTCTCCAGCGGCATGAGCTGGTGCGCAAGCACGAGAAGGTGAGGAGGTCCCTGGCTGGGCGGGCCGCCAGGGCTGCCACGAAAAGAGCTGGGTAGGGCGGTGAGGCCACACCGTGACGGGGAGCCCCTTGAATACGAGCTGTGCCCCCAAGAGGAGCCAGATGTTGGTCATGGTGAGGCCCGGGGAGGTTCCTGGGATGTCCTGCCTCAGGTGGAGGGGCCAGGAATAGGGGAGACCATGCAGGGCAGCAGACGGGAGCTCCCTCATGGACTCCCTAGGGTGTGTCTTTCACTTTTTTTCCTTTTCCTTCATCTTTCCATTTTCCCCTTATCTCTGTCTTTCACATGCATTCCCTCAGAATGCTTTTAAGTCTCAACTTAAACACCACCTCTACCAGGAACCCTTCCTTAACCACCTCAGACCAGGCAAGGGCCCCTGCTCTGTGTGGCCAGAGCACCCTCAACTTCTGTGTGATTGTCTGTCTTGGCTTGATGCCCTTAGTGGGAACCGAGACAGACAAGCCGAGGTATGCATGTACAGTCAGTGGGTAGTTACAATTCCTAATCTAAATGCAGTGCTGACGGTCAGCAGAGGGCTACGGTGGCTCTAACGAGGGTGCCCACCCTGGCTAGGAAGTCGGGAGGCTCCTTGGAGGAGAGGATGGCCATGCCAAGTTTTGAAATACAAACATGTGTTAGGTGAAGGAAAAACTCAAATGTAATAAGACTTTTAACTGACACCTGCCATCAAGAATGATGAACTGTCCCTGTTAGTGTACATTTTGCCCTGAAGTATTAGCTTTAATGGCCTGCCACCACAGATGATACGAGAAGGCACTTAGAAGGTAAAAACCCAAAACATTAACAAAAAGTAACATTTTCTGTTCTCACTTTAAAAGTGAACAGTAGAAGTAAAATGATAGCAGCCTTGCTCTGCTGGGCATTCGGGGCCACACGGGCCCTGGGCTCCTGAGTTGAGTGTGGCAGCCCGGGGCCCAGAGCACACGTGGCCTCAGGCCCGGCTGGCCGTCCCCTCAGGAGCGGGAGCAGATGCAGCGCTACAATCAGCGCATGACGGAGCAGCTGAAGGTACGGCAGCAGCAGGAGAAAGCACGGCTGCCCAAGATTCAGAGGAGCGAGGGCAAGACGCGCATGGCCATGTACAAGAAGAGCCTCCACATCAACGGTGCGGGCAGTGCCTCTGAGCAGCGCGACAAGATCAAGCAGGTGGGGGCCCGGTGGGTGTGCTGCAGGTTTGGTGGGGCCCGAACCTTATATGGTTGGGGGAATAGAAAGTATAAGCTGCAGCACCGTGTCTTGGAGGAGGGGTGCCAGTCACACCCTCAGCGGCGCCTGCTCCGCTGGACAGAGGCGGAAGCTTGCTCACGTGCCCTCTCGGATGCTGGTGCCTCAGGCCTGCGGCTTCCTCCGCTGGTAAACCCCTTCCTCTGGTCTACGAAGACGCCCCCTGCGCGTCACCCCTGTGTCTTGGGGACGTGGAGTCGGGTGGCCGTGGGCCTATGTCACAACACCACAGTGTTGTGTCCCCACCAGCCTGGGTCTCAGTCAGGAGGAGGGCAGAGCCTGAACGCCGTAGGACCCAACTCGGGTTGTGCACAAAGCAGCCCCTCTGACGGGTGGAGGTCGGTCCCCCAGCCCGGCCTGTGGCCCTCTGGGGCACTCACCCTCTCTCTGTTGCAGTTCTCCCAGCAGGAGGAGAAGAGGCAGAAGTCAGAGCGGCTGCAGCAGCAGCAAAAACACGAGAACCAGATGCGGGACATGATGGCACAGTGTGAGAGCAACATGAGTGAGCTGCAGCAGCTGCAGGTACAGCCCCCCCTGCCCCCCTTCTTGGACCGCCTCAGCTTCCCTCAAAGCAGTCCACCCTCAGGGACCAAAGACTCTCATCAAAGGAGCCTGGGCTAAGACCGTCTCCATCCTGCTGTGTAATGTTGGCCGAATCCCATCCCCCCCAGGCCGTGAACGGGAATGGGGTGGGGGTGAGAACTCCTACTTCCTAGGGCTGCAGTGAGGCCCCGTAAATGAGGTAACTGACTGCAAGTGCCTTGCCTGGGGCCTGGCAGTGGCATGCTGCTGGATCTCTTGGTCATCACTGTGTCTTGGGACACGGTGTCCCAGTGATCCTCATACCAAAACTAGACATTATAAGTAAGGAAAACAGCAAACCACTATCTCTCGTAGAGACAGATGCACAAATCCTCAACAAAATATTAGCAAATGGACTCCAACAACATGTACAAAGAATCCAAGTGGGCTTTATCCCAGGCTGACTCAACATTCAAAAATCAGTGTAATCCAGATCAACAAGCTAAACAAGAACCACATGATCACGTCAACAGATGCAAAAAAGCATCTGACAAAACCCAACACTCAATCATGAGAACACTCTTAGTAAACTAGGAACAGAGGGCAACTTCCTCAACTTGGCAAAGAACACCCACAAAAACCTACATCTCATATCATCCTTAATGGCAGGAAGCTCACAGCTTTCCCACTGAGATCAGGGAAGGGTATCCTGATGTTGTCAACCTCTTGGTGACCCCTTTCCCCGGGGAGATCCTGACCTCTTCAAGATTCCTGACTCCTGAGCTTGCCCCGTGCCTGAGGGGCGCCACCCCAGGAGCTGGTACTTGAAGCCCCCTTGTGGTGGAGCAAGGCATTGCCATACCTGAGGGATGGGCCGACTCAAACCTCTGATTTCAGGAAATTGCTCAGGCTATTGGACCCATGTGGCAATTTCTGGAGAGGCAGAGAGGTGTGGAGAAAACATGACAGGCACTGAAGCCTGTCAGGTAGGGACTCTGCCATTTGTCGCTGTGCGAATTTTAGCCAACCCCCTCACCTTCTGCATCTGTTTTCCCATCCCTGCCTCATGGAGTTACTGGGAGCATTAACTAAGAGAACCCATATAAAGTCCCAGGGGCCCAGCTCCTGGCAGGTCAAAGGTACTCCATGCTGCTAGGAGTACTGTTTCTAACTAAACCGATTTCTAAACTCTCAGAAGCCCAAAATGAAAATCTCCCAATAGGTTTCACTCTTCCAGCCCAATACGTTGAGGTATCTGGACGAAGGGACTTGCCCCTTACTTTATATTCTCTGTGAGGAATCAACAGGGACTTGTCCCTTTTGCCTGTGAGAAATTCTACATAACTTTTGTGAGACGGGTAACTTACCTCAGAGAGAGAACGGTAATGTTGGGAGTGTCTCATTCAGGTCCATGTCCTCATCCTTACTACAAATTTCTCCTGAAGAAATGACATACAATATAGAAGATTACATATATAGTGAATCTTAACTCTGGCTGCCATAATGAAATACCAGTCTGGGTGGCCTAAACAACAGTTTATTTTCTCACAGTTTTGGAGCCTGGAAGTCTTAAGATCAGCTTACTAGTGCGGCTGGGTTCTGGTGAAGCCTCTCTTCCTGGCTTGCAGATGGCTGCCTTCTTGCTTTCTCCTCACATGGAAGAGAGAAAGAGAAAGCAACCTCTTTAGTGTCTCTTCTAAGGACACTAATCCCATCATGAGGGCCCCACCCCTAGGACCTCAACTAAACTTAATTTTTTCCTAAAGGTCCCACCTCCAAATACCATCACACTGGGCATTAGGGCTTCAACATATGAATTTGGGGGAGACACAATTCAGTCCAAAGCATGAATACAATGCTATTTAAAATAGTGAAAATTAAGAGCAACCTAAGCGACCAGACATAGGGGAATGTTTAAGTAAATTTGATGAATCCACACTGTGGGATATTCTGTAGGCATTAAAAATGATTATGAAAAATGTTAATTCTTTGTAGAGATGTTTACATTATGATGTTAAGGGTTGGGGGAAGCAGGTTTCAGAAATGTATATACAGGGTGAGCTAAACAACATTGAGAACATCTAAACTTTTGCAGTGGTTTGCCTCTAGTGGTGGGATTAGGGGACTTATTTTTATTTATTGTTAATGTTTTATAGTTTTGTTAAAGTGACATATATGTTCATGTTGAAAAATTCAAACAACGCAAAAAAGCACAAAGAAGAAAGCTGCAAATTACTGCAGATCCCATCACATAATAACTATTAACATGAATATTCTGATATATTCCTCCAGGCATATCTTGGTATCTATGTACTTATAGAGTTTCATATAAATTATAATCAAGGAGAAGAAATAAGAAATGAACATAATGCTGGTGCCATCACAACTACAGCATGAGGTACGCTGCAGCCTTCTCCACCTCTGCCTTCTGAGTTTCTTACCTGTTCTGCCTGGAATTTGTTCCAGAATGAAAAGTGTCACCTCCTGGTAGAACATGAAACCCAGAAGCTGAAGGCTCTAGATGAGAGCCATAACCAGAACCTGAAGGAATGGCGGGACAAGCTTCGGCCACGCAAAAAGGTAACCATGTCTGGGCTTGTGGGCTCGGTGGTAGGCTCTTCTCCATGCTGAACCACAGGTGTCTGCCTACAATGTGAATACAGATATAGATAAGATATGGATTTATAGATTTACTTGAAGAAACTGGCTCATACAATTGTGGATGGCTGCTAAGTCTGAAATCTGCAGGGCAGGTTGCAGGTTGGAGACCCAGGGAAGAGTTGATGTTGCAGTTTTGAGTCCCAGGGCAGTCTAGAGGCAGAATTCCTTTTTCCTTAGGGGAACCTCAGTCTTAAGGCCTTCAACTAGTTGGACGAGGCTCACCCACATTAGGGACGGTAATCTGCTTTCCTCAGAGTCTACTGAGTTAAATATTAATCACATCTAAAAGTTTCTTCCCAGTGACATCTCCATGGGTGTTTGACCAAACAACTGGGCACCATGGTCTTGCGAGGTTGACACATAAAATTAACCATTACAGGTCCTCAGTGCGGTCAGTTTTAAAGTGGATGTGAATATTGTACGGTGTGATGCAAAAAGTCATTAGCCAGCTCATAGAACAGACCAAGGACATACTCCTTTCCTTCCACTCCTAAACTCTCTGAGGAGAGAGCTACCCCCTAATTGCCCTTGATCAGGTATCCTGAAGCCCTGAGGTTTGTTCTGCCATCATACATCCGCTCTGCTTGTTCCAACTGTGCCCTGGACAAGAGGCAGCTGCCCAGCTCAGCTGTCTAATGGCCTTGGGAGTCCTTGAAGTGAGGCTTCCCTACCTGTGCTAATGGAGCTTTTTGTCTGGAAGCTGGCCACGGTCCCAGACCTTCCTCTTAGCAGGCCTATGTTTATCATTTTCTCTAATCACGGCCTGTTGGGACTTTTGAAATCAATAATGCTCCTGCTGACATAGGTTCACTCTGGTATCAGGAAATAAATGTTCACCTGGTTCTCTTATGTGGGTGTTCTATATCCTTGGCACATCCTGAGAGAGAGTTTGAAAATGAATGATCACGTTGCCTGTAGCAACTGCCTCATTATTTCCAGGGCACCTGGATTTAGGGGAGGTACCACAGTGTATGTCTTGGGAGCTGCATTGGATTTTGCCTGTGGGGCTGCTATTATGCAGAATTCTTTTTTTTTTTTAAAGATTTTATTTATTTATTTGAGAGAGAGAGAGCACGAGAGGGAGGAGGGTCAGAGGGAGACTCCTCGCCAAGCAGGGAGCCCGATGCGGGACTCGATCCCGGGACTCCAGGATCATGACCTGAGCCGAATATTTGCCAGAGAGAGAGAGAGGGAGACTACAAGTGGGGGGGGAGGGGGAGAGGGAGAAGCAAACTCCCCGCTCAACAAGGAGCCTGATGCAGGACTCGATCCCAGGACTCTGGGATCATGACCTGAGCCAAAGGCAGACACTTAACCAACTGAGCCACCCAGGCGTCCTTTTTTGCAGAACTCTTTGTAGAACCATCTGTCATTAGCTATCTCGGTTACTGTTGGAACACTGAACCAGAAGTCATATAAATGTTTTTTTCTTGCATTATAATCTACAGTCCTGAGCTATACAGGGGCAGGGGAGATGACTGTACACTGCAGAATAGTTTTAAAAAAATTCAGACTTCTTTCAAGTAAGTACAGAATATCTGGTAGTGGCAATAAAGTGTTGCTTGGGTGACAGTGAACACAGAATATGGCCTCAGACAGGTCTTCCCTTTCAACCTTGCTTTTTAGGGCTACAAAATGTAGATAACATTTCTTCCCTTAAAGCAAGTGTTAGTAAACTATTGTCCATGGGCCATATCTGGCCTACCATCTATATTTGTAAATAAAGTTTTATTGGAACACAGCCAAGCTCATTTGTTTACATATTGTCTCTGGCTGATTTTGCACTACAACGGCAGTTGAGTAGTTGTGATAGAGACCTCACAGCCTGCAAAGTTGAAAATATTTATAATCTGGCCCTTTACAGAAAAAAGGTGACAGACTCATATAGATGACTATATGTGGTAGGTATAAGAGAGTAGTGCTTCAGAGCACAGGCTTTGGAGTAAGACAGGCATGCAATAAAGTCCTGACTCCCCTATTACTAGCTGTGAAACCCTGGGCAAGTTGCTAAACCTCTCTGCTCAGAAAGTGGTAGCTATGATAATTAAATTGTTATTCCTATAGCAGAGGTCACAAACTGAAATTGGCTTACAGGTGTTAGGTTTGGCCAACATAAAGAAATCTCAACATTTTTTTGAAAGTTGCCAACCTTGGGGCACCTGGGTGGCTCAGTCGGTTGAGCGTTTGCCTTCAGCTTGGGTCATGATCCCAGGGTCCTGGGATCAAGCCCCGCATTGGGCTCCTTGCTCAGTGGGGAGCCTGCTTCTCCCTCTACCTGCCATTCCCCCTGCTTGTGTTGGCGTACTCTCTCTCAAATAAATAAATAAAATCTAAAAAAAAGAAAAAAAAGAAAGTTGCCAACCTTTAAATTAAGTACAGGCGTACCTGTTTTACTGTACTTCACAGACAATTGTGTCCCCCCCACCAAACTAATGGTTTGTGGCAACCCCATGGTGAGTATATCTATCAGTGTCATTTTTCCAATATCATTTGCTTACTTCATGTCTCTGTGTCAGATTTTGGTAATTCTTGCAATATTTTAAACTTTTCATTATTATTTGTTGATCAGTGATCTTTGATGTTACTATATAATTGTTTTGGGGTGCCATGAAACTTGACCACAAAAGATGGTGAACTTCAAGTCTCAATAAATTTTAAGAAGACTGAAATCATATCATGCATCTTTTCCAACCACAACAGTATGAGACTGGAAATTAATCACAAGAAGAAAACTGAAAAAACATGAAGATGTGAAGGCTAGACAACATGTTACTGAACAAGCAATAGGTCAACGAAGAAATCGAAGAGGAAATAATGGACACAAATGAAAATGAAAACACAATGATGCAAAACCTTTGGGACAGAGTGAAAGCAGTTCTAAGAAGAAAATTTATAGTGATACTGGTTTATCTCAAGAAACAAGAAAAAAATCTCAAACAGTCTAACCTTATGTCTAAAGGAGCTAGAAAAGAACAAAGCCAAAGGTTAATAGAAGATAGGAAATAATAAAGATTAGAGCTTCAAATGAAATTGAGACTAATAAATAAACCAATAGAAAAAAAAATCAATGAAAACCAAGAGCCACTTCTCTGAAGAGTTAAACAGAATGGATAAACCTTTAGCCAGTCTGTCAGGAAAAAAAGAGAAAGGACTCAAGTAAATAAAATCAGAAATGAAAGAGAACATCCAGCACAACAGAAATATAAAGGATTATAAAGAATAGTACAAAACATTACATGCCAACAAACTGGACAATCTAGAAGAAATGGATAAATTCCTAGAAACAATCTTCTAAACTGAATCAGGAAGAAATAGAAAATCTGAACAGACCAATTATTAGGAATGAAATGAAATTGGTAATCAAAAAAGTACCAACAACAACAACAACAAAAAGCCCAGGGCCAGATGGATTCACAGTGAATTCTACCAAACATTTAAAGAAGAGATTATTTTCCTCAATCTATTCTAAAAAATAGAAGAGCAAAGAAAGCTTCCAAGTACACTCTAGTAGGAGGCCAGAATTAATCCTTATACTAAAACCAAAGACACTAAAAAAAGAGAAAACCACAGGCAATATCCCTGATGAACAAAGTGCCAAAATTCTGAACAAAGTATTAGCAAACCACGTTCAACGAGGATCATTTAACCATCATCAAGTAGGATTTTTTTCTGGGGATGCAAGATCAGTCAATATGATACATATCAACAAAATGAAGGATAAAAGTCATATGATCATCTCAGTAGATGCGGAAAAAGCTTTAACAAAATCCAGCATCTGTTGGTGATAAAAAACTCTCAATAGAGTGGGTTTACAGGGAATATACCTCAACATAATAAAGGTCATATATGAAAAGCCCACAGCAAACATCATAACTCCATGGTAAAAAATTGAGAACTTTTCCTCTAAGATCAGGAATAAGACAAGGAGAGTGTGCCCACTCTCACAACTTTTATTCAGCATAGTAGTGAGAATCCTAGCCACAGCAATGGGCTAAAAAAAAGATTAAATACTTCCTTACCAATTTGGATGCCTTTTAACTGTCACTATTTGCAGATGACATAATACTATACATGGAAAACCCTAAAGACTCCACCAAAAAAAAAAACTATATTAGAAGTACTAAATCAATTCAGTAAAGCTGCAGGACACAAAATTAATACACAGAAATTGGTGGTATTTCTATATACTAATAACATAGTAGCAATAAAGATAAATTAAGAAAGCAATTCCATTTATAACTGCACCAAAAAGAATAAAATACCTGGGAATCAACCAGACTATAAGACATTGATGAAAGAAATTGAAGATGACAAAAACAAATGGAAAGATATTCCATGCTCATGGGCTGGAAGAATTAACACTGTTAAAATGTCCATATGCTCAAAGCAATCTACAGATTCAATGCAGTCCTATAGAAATACCAACAGTATTTTTCACAGAACTAGAATAATACTAAAATTTGTATGGAACCAAAAAGACCCCAAATAGTGAAAGAAATCTTGAAAAATAACAAAGCTGGAGGTAACAGGATCTCACATTTCAACATACACTACAAAGCTGGAATAACCAAAACAGTATGGTACTGACACAAAAATAGACACACAGATCAGTGGAACATAATAGAGCCCAGAAATAATCCCACACTTACATGGTCAATTAGTCTATGACAAAGGAGGCAAGAATATACAATGGGGGAAAAAGACACTCTCTTCAATAAATGGTGTTGGGAAAACTAGACAGCCATACAAAAGAATGAAAATGAACCACTTTCTTATACTACACATAAAAATAAACTCAAAATGGACTAAAGACCTAAATGTGAGACCTGAAATCATAAAAATCCTAGAAGAGAGCAGAGGCAGTAATTTTTCTAACATAGGCTATAGTAGTACTTTTTCTAGGTATGTCTCCTAAGGCA